CTGTCTAGACCAAGCTGGAATGTGAGCTTTGCTCTACGTTTTGATCGAAAAGGGGAGATCACATGCAGGCCTCTTCGGAGGCAGTGATTCTCCTCGCTTCGCTGTGTTTCTTGAGGCAGTTAACTGTGCGCCTTAAAGGTGCCGGGCATCGCCCGCTCTCTCCTTACCGCCACTAGGCGGCGACGCTCGACCGCTGTGCACAAAGCTGCTACTGCTACTGCTACTGCTACTGCTACTACGAGGACGACGACGAGGACAAGGACGAGGACTGCTAGTTCTAAGAACTACATAAGTACCAAGTACCAAAAACCGAGTACACGTACTGGTGCTGGTTCTGCTATTAGGGCTGGTGAGAAAGTGTGAGCAACGTGTGAGAAGACAGATGTCAGAAGTTGGCGAGAAAATTGTAAGCTTTCAAGCCGGGAGCATGGAAGTTGGCTAGCCGCTTCTACAGATGTCGGGCTTAGGCCAAGAGAGGTCTATTCGCTTTTGTCAGTGTTGGACCCCTCATGCGAGGCGCTCAACCTTTCAGGCGATTCCGCCTGAACCCTAAGGCATGAAACAGTACTCCAACATTGTACAACATGTAACCTCCACTCCAAATGAAGGTTTGAATTCTTTGGGCCCATGCGCTCGCAAGAGCTCCGGTCGCCGGAAGGGTGACTTTGGCGCTTGTCTTCGTGACGTGTGCGTCGAGACTTCAAATCGATGCCATCAGCTTCGTTCGGTGCCGCCGTCCCGTTGTTCTCACTTCGCAGTTTTCACTTTTCACGTTCACTTCTACGCGTTCGGTGAGCAGAGACACACAAAGCCTTCCCACAGAAGCATCTTTCGAGCTTGGGACCGGGGATGCCATGCCTGTCTAATCAAGTCGGTCCTTTCATTGCACAAAATGGCTGCATGTGCCTGGGGTGCATGTCTGTAGGCGGCAGAAATCTTGGAAGACGATGCTGTGAGTTGAATAGGATGATTTGCCGAACTGTTCGGGGGCAAGTGAGTTCAAAGTGCAAGTCGTGTTTTGTGGCACCTCACAAAACTCCTTCACAGGCATTTCGCATCGCATCTTCCGGCCGACCGGGTCCTTGCCACATCGATTTGCCGAAGGACAGCATGGCCCGCGGAGCAAGGCAGGAAGAGGTCATAACATCCATGCTCGACTCGCGTTTGCAGGACATCGTTTCAATGAAGGCGCAGGTTCCAGAAGCAATCTTCAAAAAGGCTGCAACTTTGACTGCGGACGCGCCCCCGATGTTGGACATGGGTGCTGTGCAGAAGGCTCGGATGTTTGGGCGAAGCGTGAAGACTTGGGACGGGAGTCGTTTATCGCGACGAGTTTGATCGCAATTAAAATCTACTCAGCGCTGCAGTAATGCCACGCGGTTATGGTTGTGGGATTGATGCGTGTTGCTGTTCCAGTTGAGCCATGGCTCGTGATCCTGCATTGAACTTGTCTTCGTACAGCTCAGGTTTGCTCTGAGTGCATCCCCATGTGCTCGTGGCCAGGCAGCCGAGCTCATGAACAAGGCTAAGCGTCCCATCCTGTATGTCGGCCAAGGCCGCTGCCTTAAATCCGAGGTGACAGCACATTGCTTCCTGCAAGTCTGAGGTGCCAGCCACTGTCCGGAGATTTTGACCCAGTTGGCAAAGAAGGCCAACATACCAGTGACGACGACAGCTGGAAGCCCAGTGCTTGGCTTGGAGCTTGCAGTGTGCCAGCGTTCATGAATAATGCACCGCTCTGCAGTGCCATGCAATGGGAATCTTCGACGAGCGCGAGCCTCTGTCGATGCACATGCTTGGCATGCACGGGTGGCTTCCTCAGCTGTCAGTCTGCTTTGTGTGGTCAAAGACTGCTTCTGTCTGAACATCTTGAATGATGGCCAGGGCGGCCTATGCCAACTTTGCGATACAGAACGCTGACTGCATCATTGCTGTAGGCCTTCGCCTTACATCCTTGACATTGCTTGAGCTGGGGAGCCGCTGCGCACCTGCGTTGCGAAGCTCTTACGAGGCAGCAGGTTCGATGATCGTACCACTGGCATTGTGGCCAAGTATGCACCGAAGGCCGGACTTTTGATGCACTGCATCGTGTGTTGCGGACGTGTTCGCACGATGCTGGAAGGGGCTCCACATTTTAGGATGGGTCCTTGCAGCATCTTCCTGGCAACCCGTTCTGAGCATGAGCTTCGATTGGTAGTTCGATGCGAAATTGGCGGCGTGGCTAGACGTTTGCAACCTGCCTTGTAGCGGGGTAGAGAACCATTTCCGAAATCGTCGCTGCTGCTCGTGTTGGGGTTGTCTGCTGTCCGCCATCGTGCCGGGATCGGGATGCTGGACTGGGCTCCCGGATCCACTAGCACGCCGGATGCTATCACTCATTTTCCACTGCAAAAGGTACTGCCAAGAATCAGTGAACAACCCGGGCCGTAGCAAACCTGGACGAAGATTGGCATCACTCCGAACTCAAATTTGGTGCATGCCTGTGTACCTCACGCCTTTTGACACACTCAATGATCTACTTGTCCTTCCGTTGCAGGCAAAAGCTGCAGAGAAAGATGGCACCGGTGGCATCATACACATCAACATTGACAAGTCTTCTTTCGGGAAGGCACTCCGTCATCGATCTTTGCTGTGTTTGCTCACTGACTGCGGAACTGATGACTCGGTAATGACTGAAAGATTGCGAGGCTAGCTAGCTAAGGTGCCTCGGATAGGAATGGCCCGTCCTTTCAAGTGCTCAGCTGTTGCAACACCGTGACAAGATGCAGACTCGTGCGAAATCTGTATGTAGCCAGTGAGTGCTAAACTAGGTCTCTATCCTGGCAGCAATTCTGGAATGGCTGTGATGTCATGGCGGCTTGCTCGAGGTCGTTCAGCCCACCGTGGCAGTGTGGGCGGACACCGAGCATGCGCTCCAAGCACTGGGCTCTGGCTTTGACACTTTCAGTTCAGCGTAGCGGTGTAGCGACATATCGTGCTTTGAGTAAGCCAAGGCTCTTGAACCACTGGTCTCTGCTGGAGACCGTGAGGACTGGCTAAAGCAATGTCAGGCCCAAGTCAAGCCGCATTGGTCACTGCCTTGTGCTGTGCTTGGGTGTTCCAGGCTTGGAAGGAGCAGCATGCTTTCGACTATGTCAAAGCTCCTGCTGGGAAAATCAAAGTGCAGCAGGCCCTTTCTTCGCGCAACAATCGCAACTTCGCCTGACATCGCCTGAGAGCGCCTTGACTCTCGACAGGTTTTATCAGAATTGAACAGCTATCTTCATAGACAAGACGTCTACAGCAAGAAGAATGTCTTCGTGGCTACTGGCGTTGGCAACCATCAGATGATGTCATGCCAGTTTCTTCGATGGATCAAGCTACTCGTTGCACTATGAGAGCGCGCGTCTGCAAGCCGTGACAACCTCTTAATTACGGGGCAGATGCAGGCCACGATCTTTCATCACCAGCGGCAGCTTGGGTGTGATGGGGGCAGGACTGCCTTTCGCCATCGGCACACAGGCACAAAGTTGCGAAGAATCCTGTCTGGAATGTGTGGTCGCCCAATCTTAATGAGCTTTAGTGTCAAGAGGAGCTTCAGATACAGAAAATGGCATACAAGACGACCCGCGGAACAGCGAAAGGAAGACACCCACCACCCTCGCCGCACTATCTCGCGCCTGCTAGTGAGTTAGTTAGGTTCAGGTCTAGGTCGGGGCGAGTTCCGCAGTTCTGGGCGCTTCGAGTTCGGGCTGGTTCCCAGAGACTTTCGGTTTCAGTCGCGCTCGACAAGGACGTTGCAGAAACCGAGCTCGGCATTTCTAGTGAGTCAGAAGCCGGCAGACGTTGGGGAAAGGATAACACGGAAGCCAACATGTAAACGGAAGCCAATTCGTGACGAGCGCGGCGACTACGAAACAGTGGCTCAGGCCGAGCGTTCAGTGAGCGTCGCCTCACTTGCAGGGCCCATTTGCCAGAACAGAGAGAATGTGTCAGGGAGATTCCGGACATTCCAAACATACAGCTCTGAGGGTGTCATCGCTGTTGCGAGGCCGCAGAACCCGAGGCTCTCCACAGGCCCACAGGTCGATGTCACGATTCACGCGAGCGCCGGCACGTTGAGCACCCAGGTTGTGACCAAGAGCACTCTGCTTCGAGCACCCTCCAGGGCTCCAGGGACTTGATGAAGGAAACTCTGGTGCGTTCCTGCGCCAAGACGCAACTACGCAGCCCGGTCCTGGAGAGGGTTTGCTTGGCTGGAGAGAACGAATAATGCACACATTGACATGCACTTGGTACATAGTGAAATAGGCATCTCAGCAGGAAAAGAAGCGGCCAAAGAGTAACTTAGACGCCCTGACTTGTGGGACTTCGCTTTCTGGTGAATAAGAACGATCTGGGCAGGCAGCAAGCTATTGATTAGACTCAAGCCTGCGGGGCCGAATGAACACCAGCTTGTAGTGATAGGCTGTCGGCTTGGCCACATCTGCAAGTTCCCAGGTGCCGTTGGTTGACAACTGCGTTCGTGGTTTTGCGAAGCTAGTAGCGTTAAAGTGGTTTTGACGCTGTTGCTTCGTGTCGGTTGACAATGGCACGGGTTGAGGCACCGTGCAGGCCCAGGGCTCGGTGAGCTAAATGATATGTGCAACTGCTTTTGCGAGTTTTCTTTCTTGATTGGTATCGCTGCCGCAGTGAGCTAGTCCGCAATGTGAGATGTGCACAGGTGGCGAACCCAGATTCTCTAACCATTTTAATTGACGGTGATGGCTCCTTCGGCATGACCAACATGGACCTCCAGACCGTGAAGAGGCCACCGTTGGAGTTGCTTTTCTATGCCAGGGGGAGTTAGATGTCGATCTCCGAGGTCTTTGAACCCTATACTGGGATAGGAGCAACCGCACGGATGTTCTGTCCAGAATTCCTTGTACTTGGGATTTGGAAGTTCACGTTTGGGAAATGGAGTTTGGGTGGGAACATGCAGAGGTGTCCTGGGTTTAGGGTTTAGTTCTTCCGAGGTGCAGATGCAAGGGTCGAGGAGCTTTAGAGTAAGCTTGAGGGCAGAGGTACAAACGGTTGAAGCATCGAGACAAGGGTGGAGGCTTGCGGGTGTATGATTTGGGTTTCAGTTTGGTTTCGGTGTTAAGAGGTTTGACAGTACGGCTGGGGATTTTTTTGCACTTGCTGATGACTGTTTCGATTTACAGTTTTTACGAGTTTACGACAGGAGCCAGCAACAAATTGGAGGCGTTGGATGATCTGCAGAATTCTCACCACCTAAACTCTCAATGTTCAGGGTAGCAGAAAATCCGCAGCACCTAAGCTCTCAATGTCGCCGCCTGCAAAATCCCTAGACCGTTTGTAGTTTAAGGTCACATGGTGAAGGCCACAACACAAGAAGCTTGTGAACCGCTTCGCACAGTCGCACGGGAAGTGTGGAGTGTGACATTGGTAGAGATATGCTGCTGTGCAGTCAGCCGAGCAGTTGTCCCTGCTTTAGTACGTGTAGTGAAGCTGCACATAAGTGAGCTAACGCACAGGACGGGGCTTGTGTAGCACGTGAGGGCTGTGAGGGATGTAGTCGCTGGAGAACAGCACTGCTCTTTGGTTCGAAAAGCATCCAAAAGCAGAGGCTTTTTGAAAGTGTTCTCCGGCACTTCAGTGGTTGCATCCATGTCAAGCACGCGGCATGGCCAACCGTGTGTGTGTGTGCGCGCGTGTGTGCATGCTTGTGTTTCAGAGATGTCCAGTGTGAATTGGACTGCTGGACATTTTCTTGCTACCATCGTCGCAGGTACAACCTACCAATCAAGATGGCGGTGATGAACGACGACAGGTGTCTCTTCGTGCACTGATGGTCCGTTGGCCACAGTACGAGCATTGGCAAAACGTGCAGGCAGCAGATGGTCTGGGTCTGGCAGCGGCTCTTTTTCGAGGGCCGCTACATCAGTGCAGCTTGGCACAGTCTTTCACGAAGGCGCCTTCTGCTTTTAAGAGGTGGATTTAATTGTATAGGTGACCAACGACAATCCAGACTTCGTCGCTCTGGCGAAGGTGCGACGCTCAGACGGCCAGGATGTCAGGTTTGGGTATAGAGGTATAGCGTTATTGCTGCGAGGCCTATGGAATACATGCTGTGCAATGCGACAATGAAGAAGACCTACCGAAGGCAGGTAGTGACGCGTTGAGCCTTCCGTTATGCATTGCATTGCTGTCATGAGAACAGAACAGGTTATCGAAGAATGGATGTCCCATGACGGCCCAATGCTGGTGGACTTCAAGGTGGTTCGGTCCTTGGATGCTAGGACACTGGTCCAAGTCGAAGGAGCGGTGTCTGCAATCCATTTGCCGCATTTGAATAGAGTGACGGACTGCAGAGCAGATGATCTCAACACTGCGCGAGTTTTTGCAACTCTCTGTAGACATCTGATCCGTCAGTGGGCAGCCGCGAACTTACACCGTTGCAAGGTTCCGGACATTTGCTTGCCGATGGTGGCGCCCGGCAAGGCTTTGAGAGTCCTTCCGCACACAGTGGCACTTCTTTCTGCCTATCAGGCTTTGGACGAAATGATCCTGTTACCCGATCGAGATGCTGTTCTCGGCACTGAAGAGGCTGTGTGTTTTCGAGCCAGACTTGCCCCTGTTGAATTCTTGCACTAGCCTCGGGGGCCTAGCCACCTGACCGCATGACATTGCGTTGCCAGGAATTGGGCAGCATGAAGTTCGAGGGCTTAGCACCATCTTGAGCGCGGAATGGCAAAATCAAGCACGTGCTCCCTCTTTCGCACAACTCCGATAGCTCCACCGGCTGTTCACAAGTTCTATGGCCTCGCGTCGGAAGCTTTCACTTTGCCATTTCTTCGCAGGAAGCCTCAAAGTAAGGCGACACAGTCGAAACATGCGTCAGCCCCACTGGTTGCAAATTCGGCAATAGTGCAGGCGAAGTTTGTACTTCTAGCTTCTGCTTGTGCAGAGCAAGAGTCCTAGTTCCAAGTTCAGAGCTGCTCAAGCAATGAACTTGCCGTCTTATTGCGTTATTGCAACCGAGACCATCGAGCCGTCCAGACAACATGCCTGTTGAGCGCCAGCAAGCACTCACACGTGTGCTGCATGGTCTCCAGAGCCTTCCGCAGCTAACTGTGCCGTGGCTGTTTCGGCTTCCCAACAGATTTCGTAGGTAGTGGAAGATGGCCTTGTGTTGTCTGGCCTTGGATAGTGCCCATGATTTCAGTGTTGCCTGCACCTTGCACATTCTCTGTGCTCCTCCAATTCGGTCACCCAGCTTTGCAGTACTTTCGCAAGGCAGGGGGCGGGTGTGCCGGCAACAGATATTAGAGGGGATGCAAGGCAGAAAACAGGGTGTGGCAAGGAGGCAAAAATGGAGTTCAGACTCTCATGCGGAACTGGCCAATGGGCCACACCCGAAAGAGTTGGCACGTTGGAGGGGCTGTCACTTGTGCTCCTTCCGCCCTGAAAGAAGAAGAACAGCTGCAACATCTTCATAATGGAACAGGAAGCCTTCAGATGTTGTTGTAGTTTCTTGTGGTTCAATGATCCAAACCGTGGTTGCAATTCACGTGACATACAGCTCATGGGGCAGTTTTCTGCATTTGAACCTGCTGAGCCTCGTTTCCTGGGGGGAGGAATAGTGCATGATCTGTTCGAAGGTCCGAAGTGGCGGCGTGCTAACGGATCTTGACTACGTGTTGTTCAGCATTTACTTTGCGGCTTTCCCAGACCCTGCAGGTCCGTGTGACAGTTGTCAGATTCAGTCGGCATGCGATTCTGAGGCTATTTGTGCCATCTGGATGTTCTTGGAGTCCACCCTGCTGTGGCCTCTTTTGGATTATTGCCCGCTGTTTGTTGAACCTTCTCAGAATTACAGCATCAAGTCAATTGTGGCTGTTCTTCACAAAGACATGCTGTGATAGTGGAGCCGGAGTACGTGCATCTCAGTGATACCGTTGTTCGATCGGCCTGCATTGCGACCACCGTAGTAGGAACCTTGGCAATGCCGCCACGCTCAGGAGTTCAAGATGTTGTTTTTCTGGTGGCTAGTGTGGCTCATCTGACAGAAGCCAGTGGTTTGCGTAGGTTGCAAACAGCCCTGATGCCGTCTAAGGTGCCCTGAGTACAAAGGTGCAGCTTATCTGTGGTGTGGGGCCTACGGCCTACGGCCTACGGCAATTCTTTGTGAACTCGTGGTGCTAGAAATCTCACTCGCATGCGCCGGTCCTTCTCCTCCCATGCTCGCCAGTGGCCCCAGCATTTAACATGTTACAAACGGCGGGAACTGTCCAAGCATTGACATCTTTTGCAGCACTTTGTTACTGTCCTAGCATGGTGATCTGCGGTCCTGTTCTCGAGACTACTCCCCTCGAGCCTAGGGCCTACGGGCCTATCTCGTAATCGGTCTCGGAAATTCCTTCCAGCAGTCCAGCACTGAATCGGCTCGATGATCCAAAAAGTTCGGTCTTTCTCAGCTCCTCGAGACAGGCATTGCTTCGTGTCCGTGTACTGGTCTCGTGGGGCATCTGACGTGTCTGCATTCTCGAGGTTCTCCCACATCAAGCCCGCGTACCAGAAAGCAGACGCCAAGTACTACGACAAGTTCATTTCTGCGCTGCACAAGGCAAGCCCTGTTGGCTCCATGCCAGGAAAAGACGCTGGCCATGATACCGAGAATCGGGTTTTCTTTCGGAAGGGTGCACTCGTTGTCGTCATGACGAGCCCGTGTCTGTTTTTCCATTTGCGTGCGATTGCGTGGAATGCGAGGTTCCCGGGTCGTGTCTTCTCTGCTTTTTCGCTAGGTCTCGGGGCTCGGCTCTTCTTGGCTCACTTGGATGTTGCAGGTTCTGTTCATGGACACGGGAAATCGGTTTGTGAGGGTATCAGTGCGTTCAGAGCAGCCAACATCAGCAACTTTACGTACGGCGCCCAAACCTCTCGCGGCCAGCCTTGGCACCGTATGTCTCGTCTGCTCCGATCGATTTCAGCAACCTGTGAAGAGTTCTTTACGAGTCGTGGATGGAGCCAAGACTGCTCGGAGCCACATCATGCCTATGTCTTAAGCCCTTCTGGGTGCAGGCAGCGCAGTCATACAACCACATAGATGATATGACTGCTCCAAAGGCAGCAGTAGCTTCTCGGTGCCCTTGGTTCAGGCAGCTTTACCAGCAATGCCTGCAACTACCAGCGCAGCGCCTGAAGTTAGCAACAAGGAGGAGGCCTGGTGGGAAGAGTTCCGTGATCCCCGCTCGAGTTCCTGGCATATTTTTCAGACTTGTACGAGAGCTGAGACGTCATCGCGAGCTGGCTCGTGAATTAGCTTCATCGACATCCTTGCGAGCCTTGCTTCCAGCCTTCACTTTGAGGACCTTCTGGAAATATGATTGCAACCAACGCAGCAATAAAACCGCGATATTTCAAGAAGGGTAGAGCATCACTGTTGCGCACATTGGCCTGTGTGTACACCCCAGACTGAATCCTTTCGGATGGTCTCGCTGCTGGGCAGGTGATTCGTGATATGCTTGACAAGAAGGCCACATGAGAGCGGTTGGGTTGAAAGTTTCACTGCTGCATCTCCGAGGAGGTACAGACTCTGTCGCTGCGGTGGCGAAAAGGCTTTCGAGCCGAGCTGTAGTCCTGACAAGTGAAGCACTTCCTGGAGCCGACTTTGACATGCCTGATTCAGATGAGGGCTCGGCATGGCGTACATTTAGGTGCACATTGATATCCCGGAGGGTACATAGAACAGCAACATGTGCTTCCCGGCAAAGTCCCCTCAGTTTGATATAAAGCGTTGAAATTGCAAGCGCGTGCGTGATCGGTGATGGGCTCTGCACGGAGCATCGAGCACACGCAGCCCCGGTTTGAGCTGGCTTCTCAGAGCTCGAAGATGCTTGAAGCTCTCTGCACCTAGATTCCTAGATTTGATCTCGCTTCTTGGCTTCGGCCTGCCTTGACTACTTTTCGAACACGACTCGTCGATGCAACTTGGACCCCGGGCCTCCTGTGTCTTTTCTCGCAGGTCTGAAAGCTCCCGGGCGGCATCAAAGCTCCTTCTCAATGCAGCGCGTCGTTGGGTACCCAGAAGAAAGCTGCCACAAGCAGCAAACAGTCAGCAAATTCTGTCGATTTGTCATAAACTGCGTCAGATCCGTGGAAAAAGCCGCATGCCGTGCATTATTTTAGCTTTGAGCTGCGGCTGCCTAGAGCCCACAATCCTGTGCGTGCATCGCACCTCGCCGGGACACCTCCAACAGATGCCGCACCACTTCCTCTTCGTGGAGCTGTGGCAATTCCGGATTTGCTCCCGCACGAGTTTTACCTTGCTGCGGACATTGCATTCGCCCCCGCCCTGTCTCCTCGCGGTGTCAACCTTACCGCGCTCCGTGTGCTTCCCCGGAGATGGGGTTTCCCCTCTTTCCTACACTGTGTTCGGAGGAACGAAGTTGATAGACTCGTCGATCGGAAAAAACAACTAACAGTAAGCAGAGTGTACATGAGGCTGCGATGCGGATGCGGTGCAAAACGCCATATTCTCAGCATCGCTGCTCTGGATGAAGTCTCCTCAGTCCTCTGTCCTTGGTAAAACACACGGAGGCACTGCTTATGGGGGCGGACCCCAACATAAGGAGCAATTTAAGTGGCAGTTCGTGTGCACGTCGCCTTAATACTGTTTTACCTTCAGCAGCTGGCGAGTCAGGAGCGAGCATTCCGGCAGGCCAGCATTGAGCTTCACTGCGCAGTGCGTCGCGTCCTCAGTTCTGGCAATGTGCAACTTTGGGTCTGGAGTAGTGAGATGAATCTTTAGGTGGCAGCGAACTGCGAAACTTCAGAAACAGGGTGCATGCAGTGATGAGAAGGCGAAGCTGTCTCCACCGCAGGCGGATACTTCGCTTCCTCTCCAACATCTGCTGCGTGCACGTGCGCAGGTGGATGCAACCGCCCAGAGCCCAAGCATCCTCCCTTTTCATGGCTGCGGTGAGCCAAAGATCAGGCGAATGACGGACGCAGCGCATTGCACATTGCAGTGGCCGCGCGCCATCAAACGGTCATGTGCGTTCCTCTAGAAAGCAAGAGTGCTTGCAGCGAGGCATGGGAGAGAGGTGCAGCAGCATCGAAGTTGGTCGAGGCAGAAGTCTTGTGCCATGCTGGGCGTGACTGACAATGTGTGGACTATCTTACCTTTACATCGAGTTACATCTTGTCGAAGACGATTCGCTCACCAGCCAAGAGCTTTCGAGGGAGGAGAAGCTGGGTGGGGGAGTTCAATGCATCTTAGGCTTGCGAAGGGGTACACATTCGCTCTTCGTGTTTTGCTGAAGCTACAATTTAATAGCCCCTCGCAGAACGGTACCGTGTACACCGGCCTTGTGTGAAGTTGACCTGTGGCGGCGTGAGCATGGAGTTTGTCGGTCCGGGCCCGGACTCGGCGTGGGCGTTAGCACTTTGGCTCCAGGCTGCGTGGAGCGCCCACTCTCGATTCCTGCATTGAGCCGGATCTGGGGCGCATGCTGCGACGCATCCACCCGTTGCGTTGGGTAGAGTCAAAGACGGGGCTTGCCAACGTTGCCCTGGACTGTCGTCTGCGAGCTTCCCGACCTTGCTGCAGCTCCATGCTGACGAAGATCCTACATCTCGGGTTGCGGCTCGTGCGCTCGGCGCCTTCCAACAGCAACACTCGGTGTGCGCATCTTGGGTTGCGGCACGGAATGCCGGAGTCGACCATCAATGCTGAGAACACCAAGAAACAACACGCTGCAAAAACAGAAAGGGACAGACACGTTGCCAAACGGGTAGGGGCAGAGAGCCCCAAGAAACGACTAGCTGCAAATAGGATGGGGGCAGGGCAGAGAGCACATACACTGCAAAGAGGATAGGGGCAAAAACACCAACGAAGGACACGCTGCAAACACGATAGGGGCAGAGATTACCAACAAACGACATGCTTCAAATAGGACAGGGGCAGAGAGCACACACGCTGCAAACAGGATAGGGGCATAAAGCAGCGACAAACGACACGCTGCAAGCAGGATCTTCCGGGCACAGTTGATTTTGGCGTTTGTGTCATGGGATTCTCGCACGCCGCTTTGTGATTCGTACAGCTGTGCTCTTTCCCGATTCGGCATTGGATCGTAGGCATTTTGTGTGTGCGGTGTCCTTCTCTAGGAGAAGCCGGGTGAATTCGGCCGGAGGTGAGTTCGCCGAGCGACATGAGACGGGGAGAGTGCCAGAGCTCGATTTGTTTGCACCAAGCCGCGAGTCAAGCGACTGTAGTGATGTCGAACAAGTTCTTATTATTTTGTATACTTCAAGGCTTGCCGAACTTTTGGTACATGCCGTGGAAGCACAGTATAGCTAGTATAGCCATTGATGTGTCTCCCTCCGTCTGTCTGCACCCCTGCCCCGGTCGATACAATTTACAATGGCTTCCTGGAAACTGCAAGCACAGAAACAGAAGCCCATGTTTCGGCAGGAAAGGAATGTCTGCTGCTGTGTTTCCTTCTCGTGCAACCGTGACTCGCAACATCTTTCAGGCCGGCGCTTCGCGAGATTTGGAGGACAAGCACGGCCTTACACCAACAGTTCCTTGGCAATAAGTTGGCTCTGTTGCGCGTATCTGACTTCTTTCCATCAACAAAGTTTATGGCATGAACCAAGGAATTGGCCAGACGAAGAAATCGGGTCAACATTTGACATGTTAAAACATACCTCCTTTCGGAACATTCAATCTGAACGTCAACACTAATGGAATTAGATTACTTAATTGGATAACCTTTAGTAAGACGCTACAGATGGTAATCTGAGTATCTATTCATTGAAACAGATAGAGGTGATACATGAACAAGTATTGATGTCAATATATATACATATATACACACACATAGCACACATTACTAATTTAAGCGCTTCGCGTCGTCCGCCTCGGCCCGGCTGTGCTTGAAGCAGGTGCATTGTTTCGGAAAGCAGCCGGTAGGTCACACAGGTGAGGTCTTGCGTGAAGGAGTGCATTTGCTTCAGAATGTGTGTTAATGTCAGTATTCGTTTTCATGCTGAGGCTCTGAGCAATACTCCTTCGCGAAAGGTGGCACATTCCCTGCATTGTCCTGTAGACGTCACTTTCAATATCTTATTACACTTCTCTCTGCAACCTCCCCTTTGTTGGAAGGGGACTGGGGAACCAAGCTTTGCAACAAAGTACCCCACAATTCTCTGGCTTTGGCATCAACTCGAATGATTTAAGCTGGCCGGTCTTGCTTCGCCCCCCGCAGCAAGTCTCCGATGTCACGAAAGCTAGCCTACCGGGCTAGCTGAGTTTCTGATCAACCGAGGGTTGCAACAAAGGGGTCTTCCTTCCTGCGGTTGGCCCCTTTTTCCGCGCCAGGCCCCACCTGGAGCTGGATTTGGCCGTGGGGCCAACAGGTCCTTTTTTGGGTGTCTGAAAGTGGCGTTTCAGACCGGTCCAGGCGGGAGAAACGAGCCCCCGATGATGCTCATGATGCTTGCCTGTCGGCTCCGTATGCTGCGATGTGGGTCCCGATGATGCTCATGATCGCTTGCTGTCTGGGTTGGGACTTCAAATAGGATTTCGTTGCTTGCTTCATTCTGTCCTGTGTGTTTGCAAGCCTGTTCTGTTGCTCTGCCTAGCTTTCGTCCCAGTCCCTCCTCCCCAAGGTAAGGGTGGCGGGGGGGAGGAGCGGGGAGTGGCTTCGCTAAAGGATATGGGTCACTGGGGAGGGTCAAGAGGTAGGGACACAGGCAATCGCTGAGGGAATCTCTGATCACGGAAATAAATTATATATCTTGGTTAATATAAATATTTTAGTTATTTGCCTATTTAGCTATCTATATATTTATCTATCTATATANNATATATATATATTTTTTTTTTATATTATATCTTTATATTCTATTTTTCTCTTTATCTATATATTGAGAAAATAGAAAATATTGAATGAATTGTTAAGATTTTTTATATAAGGTGGCTATAATTATCTTTGGAGCATAATTTTTACTCTTTGGTATGAGGTGGGTCTGAGGTTGCAAAATGAACCACTCTTGTGGTACTAGATTAGCGGTAAATTGAGATTCGGATAATAAGATATATTTTTATTTTATATATAGATTTATATATTATATTGAGATATTTTGCGATTTACGATATATATTGTACAAATGGTATTTCGTATTAATAACGCGAATATAGAAATGAATATAGATTAGGAGAAAAATTTCGATAGGAAATTATCGATTAGAATTTAGATAAATAGATAAATTTATAAGATCGATGCATTTACTAGAAATATATAAATAGAAATATAAAAAAAATATATATATAAATATTCGAATAAGATAACCAAATCTATATATATATATATA